AATTTTTAAACAAAAAAAAAAAAAAAAAAAAAAAAAATTTGAAGTCTTCAACGATCATCTACGTTTAAAGACTTAGTTGTTCAAAAGCTGCGATAAAGACAGGATAAGTGACCTGTTAAACAGCAATTATAAAGAAAAAAATTGCAACAAATTTTAACATAAGTTACTGTCGCAGAACACCAAGCCGTAGAGTTTGCAGATTTTGTATTTCTGAATCTACGGTACTTTGTGTAATAAATACCTCCTGTAACTAAAGCAAATAATTTGTGTGCTTTAGTAGTTTAATGCAATAACCGGTGATTTAGTTGCGAGTAAAGTGTTCAAAAAGCTATAAAAAGTAGATTAGAAAAAAAATTTATTTTCAAGGCTGTAGTTCAAATGTCAACGAAATTTTGTTAGTTTTTCAATACTTTACGAGAAAAACGGTCTGCTAATAAAGGCAGAAAACATGTCCTTCTGCTGTACAAAAAATATGGTTTTTGGTCTGAAACACCGCTACAATATGTATACGAAATGTATTAGGGTTCGGTAAAGTAAAAGTCGGCTAGTTAAAGCCGAGACAATATGAATGCATGCAAGATGTTTGCATACCTGCTGGAAATACAAGCAATAAAATTTAGATTGGTTGTCTATTGATATTAATATAGTTTTTCGTTCTGTACCACAACGCCCGTAAAATTCTAAATTTCAGAAACATCCTGGTAGAGCCTTGGTTATTATTGGTCAGTTGTAGCTTCAAAATGGCTTGTGTTTAAAAACCAAACTTTTTTTTTATTATTAAAAAGTGTGATAAACAGCCAAGCTTCAATAACAAGAATAGAAACTTCTCTCACTTTTGAGGTAGAAGCTACTAAAATCAAAAAAAAAGAAAGAAAAAAGAAGAGAAATAAGCAGAAAATCATTGTCGTGCTTTTTCTTGTATAATTTAGTTTTAAATTTTACATTACATTAGCCAGTTTTTAAAAGCAAGCTCCTTGTTGAAACAGACCATAAGAAGTTGATTTCTTCAAACCCTGAAACAAAAAGGTGTTAGAGTGATATGTCATATCAGAATTACTTGACCTCACAAAGCGTTACCATCAAATATCAAATCACTACCTCTGGCCAGAATAAAGGCTTCTACAATCAAAATCAATGTGAAAAACGCATCTATTTCAAGATAATTAGAAAAATTAAAAAAACAAGTAACTCTAAAGTTCAAAATTCTACGAAATTCAATTTTAAAGAATTTCCGAAATTGCAGACAGATTTGTGCAAACATGACAGATTTTGTTGCTGGTAAAATATAAGAATTAAACTATGTAGTGCCAGGATTTCAACTGCATTATCTAATTTCAAGCTGCTCAGAAGTCTTTTGACAGATTTAGTAGTATTAACAACACGGCAACGAGGATATTTCGTTGAGGGGTTAGGCATTTACTAGTAACATCTAAACCCTTTTTCATGTTTCACTACAAAACATCAGTTTCTAAAACACTAATATCTATTTAGCTTCTCTAAAAATTCGTTTCAAGAGCACCTTCCTTAAAACTAAAACAAACCGTTGTTTAAGGTTCTTTCTTTTTAACGTTCTTTTTACATTTCACAAGTAAAAAGCTGCGCAAGCAGCAGACTAATATTTTTAGTCAAATAGGATATGGAAAAGCACTCAATAATCAGTATCTGAAAACCTATTTTTTAGCCAGAAAACAGCGACAGACTTCCTTGGACAACTCTCGATTCTTACGAAGTTTTAGCTTGCTAAAAATGTTCTTAGTTACAGTAATGCTATGAAACGTTTTTGAAAAAGTCTCAGTATTTCTCCAAGGAAA